CAAAGAACAAGACGCTTCGGGCAACGATTGCGGTGCAGTTTGAGCTGGCAAGTTATTATTTGAGTCCTGAACTGCTGGGACTTGCTGTGCAGGAGCAACATACCTTGATTTGTTTGGATCCTGCTGAATGTACGAGGCGCATAACAACTGCATATCCCTCCAATCTTCCACTTTCTTCAAGTACCTTAAGAGCTTAGGGCAGCTGTGGGCAATGTCGGTAAGTGGCTTGAAAAGCTTGCAAATCTTCTCAAACAGCATTGCCTTTTCTTGGCACTTTGGCAGTTTAGTGCCTTGAGTACTCAATACTGTGGTATCTTCATCTGCCATCCATTCCCATTTGACCCCTTCAATAAACGTACCTCCTGGAGTGGCATTAGGGATCTGTTTACTGAATCCAGGTGCCAGGACTGAGGCTACGTACCACAGCAACCAGTTACCAAACCCCTTGCAAGGAGGGTTGACCATTCAAATCGTGGTAGCGGTGATGGTTGGTTTGATAATACCCAGCTGCTTGTCTGGCGAGGATCTCTGCATCCATGTCCAAAATTCTAGCCTGCTGAAAGAGGGCATGACCTTGAACATACAGAAGAGTCATGTTTTTGGTGATCTGGTTTAGGGGCATCTCCTCAAATCGATCTCCTACCTTGTCAATGTCAGGTAGGGCAGCTCGATGCTCCGGTCTCAACAGCCTTTGACGTGGGGTTAACTCAGAGGTTACAGCTTCCACTGGTTCAGGCAGTTCTACGGGAAGCGTAGTATCAGGCCTGACTACCGATTCCGGAATAGTGTCCGTTTGGTTTGTGGCGGAGGCCTGTACTACTGCTGAGTGCCTGATGGTTCCTTATAACAACACTGGATGAATCAACTGTTGCACTGACTGGATCAGGCATATTGCCCTCTTTACCAATGCTTTGTTGGCTATCCAGAGGCAGCACCTAGACTTCCCTTTCTACCACCTGAACCGAACGTCCCTTTTCTGCACCAATCTGATTACCCTCTTCTTGCGAAGGAGTTGAGTGACCTGAGGGTAATTCTACCTGAGATGCAGAAGACATAGAAGGAGTAGAAACCTCTTGAACCTTCATTGAACACAGGGATGAAGGGTAATTTGTGCGCCTATAGTACCCACTAGGCAAGCAAGGCGGAGAAGAAGGCTGGGCATTGGCTGCATGACCGACGTCTACCCTTGATGCTGAAGTAGCAGGTGCTTCTTCTATCCTGCAGTCGCCAGCCGCCTCGGCTTCTCTCTGCACTTCGAGGGCTGCTTGTAGTACCTGAATTTGTCTTTCATACTCGACCAACCTTTGCTGCAAATGCTGTGAGTTCATTGCCTTCGAAGCCGCTCTTTCAACCATATCTGCTCGTAGTTTCAGATTCCACAAGCGATGTTCTTCGGCAGGCATCGGGCGGTGCTCAGCCGATAGCCTCCGCGACTACCTCTTTGGCTTCCACCCCCTACTACCTGACCAGTAAAAAACATAGCAGCACCCTCGGGATTACTCGAACCAATCATTTCAGGCTGAGTGGCCCGCGGCCAATTGGCACAGGGTCCTGACGGGGAACGATGCAGAGCTCCTCCAAAGCTCGCAAGACCACCAACGGTCGACGTGCAGGGCATGGATAGGCGTACCCGACTGCGTGGAGGCCGTTACCTCGAAACCCCTATCATCCAAGGAATCACCCGCCCTAGCTGAACCCATAGGATGGGGCATGTTACTACCACTCACCCTAATACTTTCAGGCAAGACTCCGCCAGAGTCTGCAAAATGACCATCAAAGGTCACTACGGGGCGTGAGGCACACCCGGGATTACCGAGGCAACCAGGGCCGACATTGCCTGCGGAACACCTAACCCCACACTGACATGCCCCCGGGTGTGGCCTACACATACCGCTTAACCCGTTAACTAACTGTCCGGTATTACCATCGACTAACACTGCGCACCTACCACACACGGTGCTGAAGCCTGGCCAAAAGCTTCATTACTGGTAGATGACGCAAAACGATGAAACCATGGAATCCACTCGTCATCCTCAAGATTTGAACCTGAAAGCATCTCGAGGATCGGGGGTCCAGGTCCGTTTGACACATACTGAAGCTGGTTGAGCAAAGCTTCACGCTCACTCAAACCATAACTTCCACTAGCATCACATCCAGAGAACTGCGCAACATTCCCGGTTGCTAGCACCTGACAATGTGGGTCACCTCCCACTGGAATACCACCAACTGAGGGTGGCAATGAAACACTACCTGTGATCTGGGCGTCCCCTTCAACAGACTTGACTACACCTGTGTTGCTGTAATCGGCAGGTAGCACGTACTCAACAGGAACTGTACGAGCGCCCTCCGCCAAAGGGACACCCATGCCTGGAGCACCACTACAATTCACAAGACCGTGACTTACTGTGTCACGTCCTTCGTGCCTAAAGGCGCAGGGATGGCTGACTCCCATACTGGGAGGATTTACATACGACTGCGCTGAAGGCGCATTAACATGCGAACGAGGTTGTCCAGGACTTCCGCCAGAAGTCCTAGAGAAGGAACGACCCTGAGGGCTTACCGTTAGCTGTGGACCTTCCTGGCCTGCAGGACGACTTGCCATACCGCTTTGCCGAGGAGAAACGCAATGCGTGCCGGTGATTGGGCTCATCACCTGCTGACACTGGGGTATGCACACAAGTTGGGAACTTAACGTGCGGTATGGCCAAGTCCTAGCACACCTTTTTCTCTATGGCGCGAGAGGAAACTATCAAGCTCAAACCTACAGACAAACAACACGGAAAAGAAGGAAAGAAAGATGCAATGTCACTAGTTGTACACTGCGATTAAGAACTGAAAGTTTGAATATTACCTGTATACAACGTGCTGGGGACACATGTCACCTCTGTGGTCCCAAACAGCTACACGCATGTACAAGTTCTACAACTGCTGCACATGCACTCATGTTCTTGTACACGCACCCCCAATATCCCTATATCCCTATTTATGTATAACCCCAATATATGATAGTAGTTTCCATTTTCTTCTCCATTATCCCTTATATTTAGGGTTCAGGGTTCGAGGGTCCAGGCTTTTCGGCATAGGGTACGTAAGTGTAGGCCTTGTATTTCTACCTTTCATCTGGGAAGTTAGGTGCCCTGTGAAGTGGGCAGGATATTAGTCTTTGAGCATACCCAAGTCCAGGAAGTCTAGATGTCCAACACTGAAAAACTAAAGATCTGCTGTGCACAAAGGTCCCAACAGATTTGGGGCAATATTTGGGGAAGATGGAGAAGAAAATGGAAACTACTAGTATGGGATTTATAGGGGTTATACAGGGGTTATAAAAGGATAATGAAAAAGAAAACGGAAACTACTGTTCAGGGTTTAGGGTGTAGGATCATGAATACTTTAGATTCCTGAGGTGAGATCTGGTATGGCAATGCCAAACTGCTGAGTACCCCAAATATCCCACGAAAAGGACCCCTTTTTAGGGCACATGCAGGGTCCAAGAGATCTCCCTTGACTCCATGGAGCGATCGAATCCTATAACGCCTAAGTAGGGTTTGTTTGGGCCTTCTGTGGGGTATGGGGGAGTAAGGGAGTAACCCTATAAACCCTGGTCCTGAAGGCGCGTAGTATAAGATGCCAGCCCCTTTTTGGGTTAGCTAGGAATGAAGGAATAGATCCTTATAGTAGTCCCTATACAAGCCATTACATGGTTTCCATGTTCTTTTCTTCCATTATCCCGTCATAAACCCTAAAGAACGCATTATGGTAGTTTCAATTTTCTTTTCCATTCCTTCATTCCCAGCTAACCAAAGATAAGTAATTCCCTTATACATCCACAATTTCCATTTCATTTTCCATGTTCTTTTCCAGCTGATTCTCCACTATTGGGGGGGGAACCCCAAACGAGAAGGTACGCCTTGCAGCGAAGATTGGGCTACCGCGCTTTCGCCAGCGCTTGCTGCAAGGCTTCGCTCCACCCCAAAAAGTCGCATCTGAGCACTAGTAGGGGGGGTATATTGGGGATTATATAGGGGCATTTATATGGGTTATTAAGGGGGATATTAGGAGTTTAGCCTATAGTTCATGTGGTTCCTTTTGGGTTTGTGTAGGGTTCAGCGCTTGACACAATATACTACCCCAAAAAGAAGTACGTAGGGCGCTCTGGGCAAGGTCCCTCTTTGTGTTCCTTTTATAGTACGGCCCCCCAAAAGTGAGGGTACGTAAAAAGGGGCCGTGGTTTGGACAACCTACCAAACGGCATTTTACCTGGAACCGAAGCAGTTCCAACGTAGGCATTTGAGGCGCAAAGTGCCTACCCTCAAGAACGTGCACCCTCAAGCTAGAACCAAAACCAGCTTGAAACACCAGAGGAACAGGGGTTTGGCTTTTGCTAGCGGTTTGGGTACCGTAAAGAGTGAAAATGTCGAGCCTGGGCATGGCTTCCTTGTGAGTTTGCACATGTGTTTACTAGCTTATTATAACCCCTATATAACCCAATATTATACTTCCTATCTTATAATGTTTTCCAATGTACTCTCCATTATCCCAATATAACCCCAATATAACACGCAGCTCGGTTTTTCAGGCGGCCAGATCTTGCAAGATGATGCTCCGATTGAGCTACCAGGTCCAGGTGTGCTGCAGCTCCACCTCGTGCTCCTATCCTTCAATGATCTGGACGCTGGCGGCCTGAACCAATTCTGCATGGCCATTGCACATGATGACGATCATGCCGTGGAAGAGCCTGGGTTGCTGAGTTAAGGAGCTTAAGATAACTTGCAATAGTAAGGAGACCCTTATCCCTGTTAATGAGGGAATTTCCAGGGCTTCCGCAAAACATGCATATATATATATATATATATCTCTTGTTTTTTTTTTGGGGGGGAAGGGGTGGTCCTATGATAAGGATGGGAGTATGTAGGTGCCTAAATCGGTGTTCCCTGATGTATGCAAACCTCGCAAGCCTAAACTCTAAACCCTAAACCTCCTAAACCCTCTGAACAGCCCAGGAGTTCTTGCAACAGCCACAAGACCCTAATTCATCAAGTCAGCAGCCACCCGCACCGCTCCTGTGCATAGCTGCTGCTGGAAGCCCTAAGTCTGTTCGACTGCTGCTAGAGGCTAGCCCTGAGGATTTCAAAAGCCGAAAGTGGGTACTACAGTGGATACAAAAAAATGGCCTGATCCTAAGTACACGTTTTCACGTATGGTAGTCTTGCATACAAAGGTTTATAGATTTAAAGGCCCAAAGCAGGCTGTGCTTATACATTTGGAGTCCAAGTATGTGTTGTGTATTTAAGGGCTGATGCCAGGGGCGTGCAACGCCAGAAGGCAAACCGTGTGCAGGTTAAAAACTTTGCCAAAGCTAACGCCGGAATCACACAGCGTGCGCTGTACGTGAGCTTCTGCCCAGCGCGTCCCACAAAAAATGCCTGGCCAACAGCTCACAGGCAGACTAGAAGCCCCAAAACGGAGATGTTAATCCCAATGATGCTGGTGATGCTGGCCCTCTCGGCCAGCATTAATGGGGGTCCATTCCTTCATTGCGGTGCCACCCAAAACCCAGTGAAATCTTTTCTCACCTCTGGCCTAAGACGACCCTTAAGGCTACTTTTCAAAAAGGTCCCAGCTCATGATGGTTTTGGAAGATCCTGAGGGAGCCCAATGATTCTCGAAACAACATCCATAGGGTGGCGGAAGGCTCCGGAGCACATGTGAATTGCAAGCTGCTTCTGGGGGGTCTCCAGCGGGGCCCCGAGAATTCAGACAGGAAGCAACTTCACGCCGGCGAAGCTGATATTGCAATGTTGGCACTGTGGTCAACTTAACGACGCTGCGTTATGAAAACAGGGGTGCTTACGGTTCCAGGGACGTGGCACGAGACCAACAGGCGCAAGCAAGATTCACGCCACGCTGCCAGAACTCTGCAGGATACTGAGCCTGTGCCTGGGCATTTGCTGTGTGCGATGTTGCTGCGAATGTGCAACACTGCAAGTACACGGGGCCTTACGCCAGGCCTAAGTGGGAATTTCTCAAATCTAGGGGTACCTTTTTGGGGCTCCCAATAATAAGGACATAGTGTATTGGGGTCCCCTAGGGGTACCTTTTTGGGGCTCCCAATAACAAGGACATAGTATATTGGGGTCCCCCTCTTCTGGGAAGAAACTGCCAAGCAAGGGGCTCAACTGCACCCCAAGGTCACAGCCCTGGGGCCAGTGCCCCGAAGGCCTTGGCCTAGTTAATGTGCAAAGAGTCTTATCTACCCTAAACCCCTTTAGCCATTGGGGTAATATTTATTAGGGTTTATTGGGTTTGTATGGGGATAGTGGACAAGAAAATGGAAACTTCTACTATGAGTTATATAGTGTCTATTGTAAGCTCCTAAACCCTAAACTCCTAAACCCTAAACTCCTAAACCCCTGTAGACCTGAAGCCAGGCTGAGGCCGACTTACACCGCCGAGACGAACACTTCGGCCTGACAGCTTTGCACGTGGCATGTGTGCATGGACAGGTTGAAGCTAGGTTGGTTATAGTAGGGTTATATTGGGGTTGTATTAAGGTTATATTATTTGTGTTATATTAGTGGTGGGCTCAAATGCCTGGGGATCCAAGTAGCTCGAAATAGGCTTTCTTTATAGACTTTAGGGCACCAAACTTCCTAATGTATGTATGCTCCTGATTTTGGGGTTAAAGATTACAATTACTAGTATGGATATTCGGGAGGTCCAAGTAGAAATAGGTTGCCAGATGGAAAAAGATTTAGTTCCGTAACATACCCATAATGTGACAACTTGGCTTCAGCCCAGGAAGTCACAGAGCTGCTGCTTCAGGCACGCGCAGACATGCGGGCCCGTGACGTGAATGCGGACACACCACTTCATGTGGCCAGTGCGGCAGGTCAGTCAGATGTGTTGCGCCTCTTGCTTGAGGCAGGGGTCGATGGCCCCGAAATAGACATGGAAGGAGCGAACGGGAGAAGCCCTTTGCTACAAGCTTGCTCACTGGGCGCGGTAGACACATCGCGGCAGCTGATTGAGGCCACTGCCGATATTAACAGGGCTTCTCATGTTGAACATACTTCGGCATCGACACCCTTACTTGCAGCGTGTGCACATGGCCAGCCTCAAGTGGCGAGTCTCTTAATTCAGATGAGGGCGAATCTCAACCAGCCTGATGAGGCAGGAAGGTCGCCCTTGCTTGTGGCTTGCACGATTGAGAACTTAGAAGTCGCGAGACTTCTTGTTGCGGCCGGAGCTAGGAAAGGGCGAGGCCATGCGCCGTCGGCGCCTCTTCACGTGGCGGTGCTTCTGGACAATGCGGACATGGCACAGCTGCTCCTCCAAAATCGTGCTGATATTAACGAGAAAACTGCAGACGGCGACACAGCCCTGTGGCGAGCGAGCCTCATGGGGAGCACGGACATGGTGCGCTTGCTCATCCAGCACGGGTCTAGCCAGGTGGTCGATAATGAAGGCCGCACGCCGCTGCTAGCTGCCCGCTACTTCAACTACGCGGACATCGAGCAGCTGCTTCTGGAACGGGCCCCCAAGAGGAGACGGCGCACAAAGGGACCTCCTTGAACAGCTGATTTGGCTATATCGACGTGTGACCTGCATGTTCTTGGTAGGACTTGAACCCTGGTTCAAGCTGTAGCCCGAGGGCCATGCCACCCGCGAGTCCGGCTAATAAGCCGGAAGGCGCAACTGCGTCCTTCCTTGCACCACTTGCAAAACAGGAAGAACACCAAGTCCGAAACTGAACGCAAACAGACCTTAGAAGATCTTTTAGACCCCTTTCCTAGGGCTCCGAAATGGCGAAAGTAGGTCTTATTTATTGAAGATTTAAACGTCCAAAACAATAATTATACACAGGCTAAGAGCCCGAGCGCTTCCCGATTCTAGCTCCAACAGATCAAACCCTACGAGTCCAAGTACTCAATATTCAGTTACCCATCCAAAACCTGACCTTATTCTTACAAAAAATCCAAGTACTTACCTATTGGGTATTTGGACTTTTAGGGAAAAGCTAGCCCGTGCTTCTCACTCTTCAATCAACGGGCACAGCTGTCTGCCTGAAGCATGAGGGAGTTTCTCAGAAGACATTTTAGGGTTCAGGGGTTATGCCACCCTCATGCATTCGTTATGGCAAGCCTTTAACCCTAAAACCCTAAACCTCAAAGCATGGGACCCGCGCAAGCTTGGCAAGGCGAGCTTGAATAAACACCTGTGCGTCCCTCTTGGACTTCTACTATGGGTTTGTTTTGGATGATAGCGAGGAGTTGCCCACAGGTGTCAATAACTTGCAAAGCATTGTATGGATAAGATTACCCTAAGGCTCTCAGGGTCCAAGTGCCCAAGTCTCAGGCTGTTGATTACCAAAACTTCAGCAGATGATAGTGTCCGAGTATGTCGTGCCTGAAGCCCCAGAATTTTGGGCAGTTGGGCTATCAATGAACGCCCAAGTGGGTAGTTAGCAGGTGGGTTCTGTTAAAGGAAGCCAATATAGACCCACGTGTGACTCCACTACCGCTTTACAAGCCTTGTATGAGCCCAGTATGGGGATATCCACCTGGTAACCACCCACCTGGGGGCGCTAAAATCTACAAAGCCCGGACCAGACTTATGAATCACCTAGCTTCCTGGCCCTTGTACTTTGCAAGTCTTTGCAAACCCTAAAATCATAGGACCGCTATAAAACCCCGCCATGTGTGCCTTCCCACGCTAACGAGGCCGAATGAGCCTTGATAAGCCCTACTGGTCCCCCCACCAGATTGAGAAAAGGTGCGGGGCCAGTATAGATAAATGCGAAGGCCTTAACTTTTGGATGGAGAAATGTTACGCCGCTTAGGGCCCCTCACCTATCGAATGTGCTAGCATTTTGAGGAACGTAGGATGGGAACAAGATTTCCACCATCCTAAACCTTACACCCTAAACCTTTGGCCAACAATATTAGCAGCAGCAGTAGCCCATCCTGACCCACACAAGGTCAGAGTTTGGAAGATTGATCAGTTCGAGCCACTGGACTGCAAGGTTGTTCCTGGCAAAGAAAAAACATGCCCAGAGGACTTTGCTCAAACACCTTTTGTAATGAGGACCTTCTAGACGGCATAGGATAGTCATAGTGTCCTGGACTTTGAGCACTGGGGTCCACGAGCTTCTCCTATCAGCACACAGGTAAGGGGTTCAGAGTGTCCAGTGTTTCAGGTTTAGGGCACCTAGTAGGGAAGAATATATGCGCAGCATGAACGGGTCCCACCGGGGTCCTGTGGTCTGGGTTTGGTGGTCTCATTTAGAGTTTAGAGGTCTAGACTGGGGTTGTAGTGTGTATAGGGGGTTCTATCACGTTTGAAGATGGTTTGCAGAGAGTTCATTAATTTCATGGCAGGTTTTTGAAGGGGTCAAGGGGTTCTGGGGCTTCTAGATGTTTATTAAGGTTTGTAAACAGAGAGTGTCTAGAGTGCTTGATGAAAACCATACCATGGAGGGGAGGACTGAGAACACGGAGCGCGGACGCATGTATAGGGATGTGTGTCTGGTGTAGGTTTAAGGGCTTAGGATATATTATCGGCCGTCTGGCGGGGGGAGGAGAACTCCTCATGTCATCTTTGTAGCCTTCCAACTAACCGCAGTCACTGTGGCGGGACCCACCTGAACCATCCAACCCAGGGTCCTTGATCCCAAGTAAGAACAAAGGCCGGGGGGAACAGCAAGCGTGAGACATACAGTATATAGTTAATGGGGCCATGGGGGAATGGAAAAGGCAGGGGAAGCCCAAGTTGTCCGCCGTCAAGACGGTTAAGAGCTCGTTCGCCCTCATAATGATTAGTTACACTAAATAACTGAAGTGGTTCATCGTAGTCCTACTGAGTTCATGCGCGCTAGATCGCCTCAGGACTTTGGTGGGAGAAATGCAAGGAAAGTTGCTTGCCGCACTCCATCCTGCCTGCCCGTTTCCCCTGCGTCAACCCCCTGAACCTTCAAAGAGACCTATAGTTATATATCGCGGGGCTGAATGAGGAATCAAAGGGAACACGGAAACCGCAACATTATTTAGGGTTGAGGGCTTAGGGCTTTTACATATGCACCTCAAGACAGTATGGAAGGGACGCAGACGCAGTTCCAAGAACTCCCCTGGGGCAAAGTTTTCGTGCACAAGCTAAGCCCTAGACCCTACCTAGACACGAACGCCATATCCGTTTTGTAGGATGCCTAAGTTTCTACATACAGGATACTAGACCTAGGTTTAAGTACCCGAAGATATGGTAGGGCTTAAGGATCCCGAAGACACTAACCCTACTTGGAGGTTCATGGGACCTAGTAACTACTTACAACTCGGCTCAGAACGCTACGGATAATTTTGGTAGCCCTCCTTAGGCCATTTAGGGGGATCATAAGTAAGGATATATGCCCAGTTCTAAGCAGTTACGAAGTCCCATGAACCTCCAAGTAAAGGCTAGCACCAGGCCACCTGGCTGGTTGCCAAATCTGTGGTTGCTTTTTGGAGCTCACAGGTGTTCAGGGGTTTGGTTTCTATCCTGGTACGGCCTCGAATGCATAGGGTGCTCAAGCTTTCCATCTGATGTAACAACATCGGTTTCATTTCAATTGGAGTTGCATGTGCAGTAGTAGATTGAAGGCCATAGCCTAAAGAGCCAAGTACGAAAATAATCTAGATTTTGAGACCAAAGTATCGTTCTTGAGCTAAATTACATCCAGTTTAAGTACTTGGCCCCCAAGGATACCTTTTCAGATTTCAAACTGGATAGCGTGAAGCCTAAATCCTAAATCCTACTCCCTAAACCCTAAGCTCCAATCTTTATAAATACCTTAATCCCAAAACACCCTAGACCCTAATCCCTATAGGCCCTAATCCCTGCTCCCTAAACCCTGGTCCCTGAGGTAAGGTTGCCAAGTCGATGAGTCGTTAGATGCGCTGCAGAATGATCAACATTTAGCTGCGGAGAGAGCCTAATGCCCTGAAGGGTTGAGGGTTTTAGAGTTCAGGTGTTTGGGGCTTAATGGTTTAAGGTCTAGGGTTTACGAGCTTAGGGTTTGGGGATACCGCTTAGTTTCCTCTTCCCGCAGGAAGTACTTTTGATCCGTATCTTGTAGTATAAAACCAAGGCTTAGCACACGTCCAGAAACATGGAGAGTCACACTGACCAGAGAAATTATTCCTTAGAATAAAAGTAACGGAGAATCAACTGGAAAAGAAAATGACGCATCGGAGTGGAAACCATAGGGATAGAACACCTTAACTAAGGAATATACCCCATGATTACAGAACCATTTTTTGATAAAGGGATAGTGAGCCTAAATCCTAAACCCCAACGACTCCCCCCTGTACTACCACCCCCCAAGGTTCACGCTTAATTAACTTTAATTTGGCCTAATTAACTAGATAATTCTAACTAAGAGGGGAACCTTCGGGGGGGTAGTATAGAGGGGAGTAGTAGGGGATCCTACGAAAATCCCTGATCTTGGACGCGAGCGGATCGTTGAAGAATTCGCTCATGTTTGTGCCACCATCACCCTTTCCATTCTGAGTCTAGAGTCCTTAAAGAGGGTTATTTAGGGGATTATACAGGGGACCACTATAGGGGTTGTTTAGACTATGGCACACATGAGGAGTCAGCGGTTTAGGGTGTGGGTTTTGAAGTGCAAAATTTCCACAAGTGCCTGACAACTGTCATGGCCAAGCGCAAAGCACGCTTGCCACTCTTAACCCGAATCTGAGGCCATTATGCTTAAAACTTCATCCTCAAGCTCAAACACACACTAATTGTTAGGCCAATTGTCCCTAAACCTTAACTTAACCTTCAAGCTGAAACCCTGAACCCGATCCAGAAAAAAGTACCCCACGTTTTCGGAAAAACCATGCGGGGAAAAATCGAGAAAGGCAGGTGGAATTGCTCTTGGGGTGTCTTATGAAGGGATTAGATGAGCATTGTTTTGAGAAACATAAAAGAACTGCATAGGACGCTCGGGACAAGGGTGCCAGGACCTACAGATGTTCAAAGTGATGGTCCCTCGTTGTATTCCTTTTATAGCACAGGCTCCCAAAGGTGAGGGTACATAAAAAGATAGTATTTTACCTGGACCTGAATCAGTTTTCCAACATAGGTCCTTGTAAGCAGCAAGTTAGGGAGTCTGGGAGCCAATTCACAGGCAGCCGGTTGTCCCGTATCTGTTCGCTGTGCCAATGCTTCGGCCTGTCCGCATCTGTCTCCGAACCCAAGACCGAAGGGATGATGCAAATGGTAGGGTTTAGGATATGGGGGTTAACTTGGGGTTGTAGGGGAATAATGGAAAAGAAAATGGAAACGATTATACTGGGTTATATAGGGTTTAGGGTTTAGGGGGTTTGTGGGGGTTGGGAGGGTTGGGGTTTAGGGTTTAGAATGGGGGGTACTTGGAGGTTCAGGGAAACATAACCTAAACTGATAACTGTACTGATAAACCATTTAGAAGCCAACAATAGGGTGATGACTGGGGTGTAACTACCGCCGTTTATTGGGCTATAATTACGCCTGGACCGGAGTTCATTTCCAGAAGTTTTCGTGTTGACAAGTAGGTAGAG